GCGGGTGTCGCAGTTTTCTTTTCGATATCGATCGAATCTTTTTGATATCGATATTCGTTATCGATCGACATCAATTTTTATCAATTTTTTGTAAAGTTTGACCTGCGGGGCTAGGAGCTCGCAAAGGGGGTAATCGAGCATGTTGATTACGAATACAATAGTAGTTTTTAGAATTATCCGTTACTTTTATCGAGTTTATCGATTTTTTTGCAAAGTTTGAGTTACAGGGCTGGGAGTTTCACAGGTTTGTTAAAAAGGGGTAAGTGAGCATGCTGATAACTAACACAGCAGGAATGGGGAGCGGCATGTAGAAGTGGGCACAAGGAAAATTGTAGGGGATAGGGATAAGACCTTAAGGGCATTGTCCAGGTCAACTGAGGGGTGGGGATTTTGACTCAGTGCGGGAGCACTCCTGGCTAATGCAACAGTTCAAGTCCGATTGAAGAAGGTAATTCTGAAGCGAGAAAATAGCTTTGGGAAAAAAAGCGAGAAAATAGCTTTGGGAAAAAAAGCGAAAAAAAATGGGCGGTCGCCAATCCCGCCCCCTTAACGAGTTTTGACGTGGTCAGCGCATTGAATCTACAATTTGCCACGTCAAAACTTGTCAAGGGGGGGGATTGGCGGACCGGCACTTTTTTCGCGTTTTTCCGGAGGTATTTTCTCGCTTCAAAATCCACCTATTTCAGTCGGACTTGAGCTGTTAGTCAGGAGCAGGGTCAAGCGTGGGGTGCGGCAAGCCACACCTAAGGGTCGTGTTGAGGGATCTGGGAGGGGGGGGGGTTGTTATCGAGGTGAGCTGATGTTAGCGATAACACGATATTCGTTTACATGTCATATAGGCACAGTGTAAAGTACTAGCATATCGACATTTCATACCATCGTATACGTACCGTAAGCGTAATAAAAGAGCAGCACTATAAGCATAAGAGCATCATTTTTGTAAAGAGATTATCAAATAATTTGTTTGGGCCAAGTTTCAGCGAAATCTGAGGTTCCCAAATATTGGGGCATCCGTGTGAGATAGTCATTTTTATACATGTTACTTTCGTTTCAAACGCAAGTTAACTACATCTTTCTGCACTTAATACAAAGAACTACCACTTTTTTGCACACATTGGGAATCGTTCTTCGAATAACATCCAAACTATGGAATTACGATCAAGCCAAAATCTCATTTGTTCCATTTTCCGCTTTCAATATCTCAGACCTGAGAAGACCAATCAGGTTCAAATCACTTTAATGCAAATTACGAGAGTTGGGCTATCATATATACTCATTCTTGTCGCCTTACATCGCGATTTACATAGTAAGGCAGACTAGGCATCTTACCGTAATCCAATATTTTCGCAGTATTTTCCATTTGCATAGGTAAGGAAAAACAACAATATCTTTTCCTAGAAGAAACGATAAATGATTTTCCTATTGTGTAAAGGAGAAGGTTGGGTGACAGCAACGATATAAAAAACGCGGAGATTTGAATGATCTGAAGGTAAGTTAATGGGGTGCGGCACACTCTCTTAAAAGCTGCGGTGGACGCAGCTTTTAAGGGAGTGTGCCGCACCCCATCCACCCCATTAACTCCACCGAATGTGGGATGGTCAATGCGCCTCCTGTTGTGTCATCTAAGGTGAGTTCTGGCGGTCCGTTAATCTACCTTGACTTTCGTACTGTTCACGGATTGAATGATATCTTGAGCTTTGATGTTGGCGTCTGAGTGGATGCGTCACTTATACATTCGACTTTCCAGGCTCTGACGAAGGCGAAAAAGCCGAAACGTTGGCCGGTTGATTAAAAGTTACAACATCTTGGTTGCTGCTCAAAGAGACGACACAGCAATATCTACTACAATGCCAAGATTATTGAACAGCCGAAGTTGGACCAGCTCTGATTTTTGTATGCAAGAGCAAATCATGCTTTTTAAAATGACATCTTAGCTGCTTGTTAATGGTCATCTGTTGCATAGATAGGAGCGATAGAAGAAAATTGGTCAAAATTTGAATTTTCTGTGTAGGGTCATCAAAAATCGGAAACTTGCAACAAAAATCGGAGCAGTCAGTATTGTAGGTTCTTTCACCAGCTCTTTCTAGCTGTGCAAAGCTTGCGCTGATTGGGCGTCTCTATGAAAAGTTATGATTTCCCTGAAAAATGCCAAAATAAATCAAATTCGCTCTTTTGTATTGCTTGCTCGAAAATCATGACTTTTCATAGATACGCTCAATCGGCGCAAACTTTGCACCGCTAGAAAGAGCTGGTGAAAAAACCTATAATACTGAGTGCTCCTATTTTTGTTGGAAATCTCAGATTTTTTATGCACGAAAAACCTTACACCTTACACCTTACACGAAAAATTCAAATTTTGAATGATTTTTTTGGGCTTCTATCTCCTTCATTTGTAAACATTAACGAATATTTCAGGTAAAGATGCAAAGAGCATGAGTTCCTCTTTTAAGCAAAATTCACTACCTAATATTATACTATACTACAGGGTGTCTCAAAAAATGTATCGAACGTTTGATCTTTAATAACTTCCTTATATGGAAAGCTTTCGCGCACCTTTGGGTGCCCTATGGTAGGGCTAGCTTCAACTTAGATTCGCAATACAATGCCATTCACCTATTTCGCTTAGTCACTGTAGGACTACGGTAGGAATTTCGACTAATTTTAGGCTTCTGAGGGACGAAAAATGCTTTTGAAAAATTCCAAAAAAACCGAAGGACTTCAGATTAAGGTTTACCGGGATGCCGAGCTAATTACAAAGTTTTTCGTTACCGTACTCCATGGCTTCTTACGGTATGAGCAC